CCCCCCCCCAGCCTAGTTCTGCTGGAGGCTTCTTCCTGTTAAAAGGGAGTTTTTCCTTCCCACAGTCGCCAAATGCTTACTCAAAGGAGGTCATCTGATTGTTGTGGTTTTCTCTGTATTGTTGTGGGATCTTTACCATATAATATAAAGTCAGTTAAGGTGACTGTTGCTGTGGTTGTTGGCTCTTTATAAATAAAACTTAATTTAATTAAATTGAAGCCCATTAAACTTCAACTGGTCCAGAACTCCCTCCATTAGTTATGTCACACTCCTTCAGCAGCTCCACTGACTTAAATACTGTAGTAATATCTTTAAGGCTGTAGGCAGCATGAACTTTTGCATGCCCACACACACATCTGCACTTATAGATCTCCTACCATTGGGTCTAGAGCCTCAGCAACTCCTTCCCACCAGACATCCGTAACAATTTCACATCCTGTCTCAGTCTGACTGCTTTCCACCTGTTACATTGTGATTTTACATTTACGCTTACATTGTAAGCTTGTTTTGACTTGATAGAAACATTTTGGTTAATCCTTATTTTTTTTTCACCTTATGTGTAAGGTGATGCCCCTCCTTTCCTGTCCCTTGATGCAAAACTTTGGAGAACATTTCTTTTTCTTTAGGGTTAGTGTCCTCACACCGAGGGAAAAGCGGCATTTCAAGGCCGAATTAAAAGATCACGGACCCGTGGGTCAAAATTAACATCGCCGGTTAAAGGTCCACGAGACGAGTCTGTCGACCCTGTTCATATACTGACCCAAAAGAAACATACCTGATCAGTAGCTGCTTCCAGTCTGCACTTCTCTGTTGTCAACACGTGAGTAGTCGCAGAATAATGACGCAATCACTAACGTAGCTACAGCTTCAGTGCAGCTGGAAAGAAATCCAAATCGAGTCGATTAATCAGTCCACAGATGTACGAGAAATTGTGTATTTTATCATAAAAACAATTATTTTTTAATTTAACAATTTATTTTTTTAAAGAATCCACTTGGTTTATTGTTTCTCTTCTCTTACATTTTATGAATTCATTAATTGAAGCTCCACCGAGTCCCACCTGACTGAAAGCCACAGCTCGGTGCTGTGACAGATCAAATGTTGGTTTAATGATCTGAGAAACCAGCTGACTCAAACTCTAGAAAAACGCATTTGTATGTTTTGTAGCAATCGGCAGCTGTTAATGGTTTAGTGGATGCGGTGAGAAGGATGTTGTGTGTGGGTAAATATGTGGATGTACATGACTGTGTGTGTGT